ATGTCCGTGTCCCCCCCCTTTATTGTCCCCCTTCCCAAATCCCAGGCCAACAGTATGTCCGTGTCCCCCCCCCTTTATTCCCCCCCTCCCCAAATCTTCCTTCCCAGGCGGCATATGCCAGGAATTAGCTGTGCCATTAGGGGGTGGCAGGGGTGCCCGGGGAGGAGGTGGGTGCTGCCTGGCACCGAGGGGACCGTGCTGGGCAGAGAGGGACTGTCCCCTCCTTGGGGTTGGCGAGAGGCACCCACCAGCACCAGCTCAGCCACGCTGAGGGGGGATGGATGGGGAGCAGAGTGGAGCCGTGGGGGTGTTGTGCAAGTGCCTGGGGGGGATGGAGGGGATGGCCACGTGTTGTTGACACAGGTGGGGACACGGTTGGCAGCCGGCGCCGCGGGCAAACACACCTGCCCGGGCAGGGAGAGGCGCCGGGCGGCTGCTTTGGCATCCCCAGCCACACGTGCCGGCCGCGCCGGCTAAAGTCTGAAGTCCCCACTCAGATCCAGCCGCGCTCTGCACCCCTTCCCTGTCACCTGCTCTTCTCCACGCACCCGCCTCGTGCTGGGGATGGCCCTGATGTCACCCAAAAATCCCCCCTCCCCACCTGCTGCTGCCCTGTGGAAAAGGCAAGAGGATGGGGATGCTCAGCGTGGGCATAGGAAGGCATCCTGACCAGGAAGGACATTGTGTGCCATGTCCTCAGCACCCCTCTTGGTCTGAGGCTGGGCGTGTGGTGGGTTTGCCTGGCTCTCTGGTGCCACTTTGGGTTTTAGCGAGGAGGAAGAAGCCACCACCAGTGCCCCGCTGGGACCCATCCCCAGTGCTGCCCAGCTGTGCCAGGTGGTGTCTAGAGATGTGTAACCTCAGCTCCTCAGTCCTCAAAGGTGCCTCGTCTTCTCTTTCAGACCTTCATCTTCACCGACGGGGAGGATGAGGAGCTGAAGAAGCAAGCACGTGAGTCTGTGGGCATTGTCCCTTTGCGTGCGTGACCTGGACAGGTTCCCCGAGGGGGCCCCCACCTCGGGAGCAGGACTGGCCTGGAGTCTGCCCCTGGAACTGGTCAAAATGCCACCAGTTGGATGCTAATCTCAGGAGCCTTCACCACTGGGACCTGGGCTGAGAACAAGGGCAACTTGTTTCACTGATGGTGCCTAAAGCACCCTCTGTCCGGGAACCCCACCTGGGGATGAGTTTCCTTCCCAGTCAGCCCAGTGCTGGGGGGAGCACGCTAACTGGTTGGGGGTGCCTTTGCACCAGTTGGTCTCTGGGGTGAGCTGGGATTGATGGGCAATGCCTTGGGGTTTCATGGGAGCATTTCCCTGGCAGCCACCCCCCCGGGGCCAGGGTCAGCCCGGTCTATTCTCCCCATGCAAATGACTCCTTTTCAGGCCGGGAAGCGATTGCTTTTGAGCTGGGCAAGCAAATACCAGGTGGCTGCTGCTGGAAAAGGCAGCAGGAATAGGGCAGGATTTTGGCTATGGTGTTCTGGGTGGAGAAGCCAGCTCATGGACACCCCCTCGCTCCCGGGGTGGCTGGTAAATGGGATGTGCAAGGTGATGTAGGGTGGTGTCACGCTTAGCATGTGGGGTACGGCTCAACCCTGGTGTGCCTGCTGCATCCTCATCCCTTGCTTATCCCTCCCCTTCTCCCATGTGGATCCAAAAGCCGTTCCCCTGAAAATTCATTCTTTGCCCAAAATGATGTGGCAGGGAGGGACATCATAGAATGGTCCAGGCTGGAAGGAACCTCCAAAGGTCATCTAGTCTGACCTCCCCGCAGTCAGCAGGAATGCCCCCAACTAGACCAGGTTGCCCAGGGCCATGGGGTTTCCATCCTCGTTGGTGCCCCTGGAATGCGTGTGGTGAAGCATCACTGTTTGAGCAGGGGGGAGGCGTGGGATACCCCCAGCACTGGGCTTTGACCCCCATCTCTTCCCCCAGGAAATGTCATCAACACCAACTGCTCGGCCGCCCACAGCCGCCAGGCCCTCTCCTGCAAGATGGCCGTGGAATACGACAAGTTCATCGAGTCGGGCAGAAAGTAAGTAGCTCCTGGGGCTGCCACGGGGGGCTGGGGGGGACCATGATGGTCCAGACAGAGACCATGTGCATTTTTGGGGCCGTATCCCAGCATGTGGGGAGTTGCCCCAGCCTGGGGTGACACTGCTGCCACCACAGGTGGTTCTGCCACGTGGACGATGACAACTACGTGAACGTGAGGACGCTGGTGAAGCTGCTCTCCAGCTACCCCCACACCCAGGACATCTACATCGGGAAGCCCAGCCTGGACCGGCCCATCCAGGCTACGGAGAGGATCAGCGAGAACAAGATGGTGAGGGGATGGCAGGGGGGTGTGAGGGGTGGGGGCTGGCTTCATTTTGGGTGGGTTTTGCTCCCCGGCCGGCGGGAGGAGGTCTCACTGCCGTTGCTTCCCCTCTCTCACAGCACCCTGTGCATTTCTGGTTTGCCACGGGAGGAGCGGGGTTTTGTATCAGCCGGGGGCTGGCGCTGAAGATGAGCCCATGGGCCAGGTAAGAACGTTGGCGTTGCTCAACCCTGGGGACCCGTCATGGTCCCAGCAGGGCACAGAGTGACAGCATCTTTGGTGATGGACGCTGGACCCTGTTCCACCACCTTGCTCTCTTTGCCTTGCTGGGGGCTTGCAAACAAGCTGGGAAGGACCTCGCTTCCCCCGAGCCTAATTGACTTTTTAATTAGTGCTAGAGCTGGCCAAGCCCAGACCCTGTGGGGTGGCCACGTCCCCCTGGGCTTTGCTCCTCTGCAGCTCCTCTCTCTCTCCCCGCAGCGGGGGCCACTTCATGAGCACGGCGGAGAAGATCCGCCTGCCCGACGACTGCACCATCGGCTACATCATCGAGTCCGTGCTGGGGGTGAAGCTCATCCGCAGCAACCTCTTCCACTCACACCTGGAGAACCTCCACCAGGTGCCCAAGACAGAGATCCACAAACAGGTATCCCTGTCCTGATGCCCTGGGGTGGATGGAGGGGGGCTGGGTTGGATGGTACCACCCTCTGGTTTCGTGTTGTCACCTTAAAAATTGGGCGTCGCAGCTAAGATACTGATTGTGTGTCCAGTTTTGGGCTCCCTACCATAAAAAAGACATTGAGGTGCTGGAGCGGGTCCAGAGAAGGGCAACAAAGATGGTGAGGGCTCTGGAGCACAAGTCTTATGAGGAGAGGCTGAGGGAGCTGGGGGTGTTCAGCCTGGAGAAGAGGAGGCTGAGGGGAGACCTTATTGCTCTCTCCAACTCCCTGAAAGGAGGGTGTAGAGAGGTGGGGGTCGGTCTCTTCTCTCAAGTCACAGGCGACAGGACGAGAGGAAATGGCCTCAAGTTACGCCAGGGGAGGTTCAGGCTGGATATTAGGAAAAGTTTTTTCACTGAAAGGGTCATCAGCCATTGGAATGGGCTGCCCAGGGAGGTGGTTGAGGCCCCATCCCTGGAGGTGTTCAAAAGACAGGTTGATGTAGTGCTGGGAGGTATGGTTTAGTGATGGATGCTCCTTGTTTGTTGTGTGGGTGTCTATTTTTGTCAAAGTTAGGGTGACGGTTGGACAAGATGATCTTTAAGATCCCTTCCAACCTAGAAGATTCTGTGATTCTGTGATGTGCTTCTGAAACATCAGTGGAGGGGGAGAGCCCCATCAGCCCATCCCTGTGGGATGATGCAGAGTGTGACCAGAGGCTGTGGGGAAAAGGGGTGAATTTTGCAGCCCCCCCCATGCTCCTGCTCGATGCTCATGGTCACGTCGGCTGCTTGACCCCCACCTTGTGCTTTCCCCCACCCAGGTGACGCTCAGCTACGGCATGTTCGAAAACAAGCGCAACTCCATCCACATGAAGGGAGCCTTCTCCGTGGAGGAGGACCCATCCAGGTGAGATGGGGGGGACCCTTCCCCAGAACTCCTCCCCGAGCTGGGGTGCTGGAAGGCCCCCGCCTGCCCCCACGCTCAGCATCCCTCCTCCTCTCTCCTCCCCCAGGTTTCGCTCCGTGCACTGCCTGCTGTACCCCGACACGCCGTGGTGCCCCGCCAACGTGGTGTATTAGGAGACAACTGTGTCCCCTCCAAACCTCGTCCCCCCAAATTCCCCGGTATCCGACGGGCGTGCGGGGACCTGCGTGCGGGTGTGTCGGTCCGGCCTGGCTGCCAGGCGGAGGGACGGACGGACAGACAAGACGGACGGACGTCGTTGCTGTGGTATTGCACAGTGTGTGTGTGTACTGAAGGCTGCTGTGCGGCCACCCCAACCCCCCCAACCACCACCACCACCCCCCTCTTTGCCCGCTGCCCGCTCCGTCCGGGACGGCGGGGAGGGGGACGGGTCCTGAGCACTTAACCCCCGGGCACCCCACGGCGCTGCCGAGCCCCACGCCATGCGTGGGGACCCACCGCAGGCGCTGTGCGGCTCTGCCTCCCCCAGGCTTGCTTCTCCTTTGTTTTTATTTTGTTGGGTTTTTTTTCCCTTTTAAATGTTAAGTTTTTTGGTGTGTGCCCTCCCCCCCCACCTCATTTACCCAGCTCCCGTAACCCCTCGCCCGCCCCATCCTCTCTCCCAGCCCCCCCCAAAATCTCAGCAGCGAAGCTCCGGCTCCCGATTTGGGTGATGAAGGGTCAGTGGGGAGTTTTGCCCCCCCTGGCTCGGGGGGCAGGCAGAGGGGGGCCAGGAGAAGGCTCCTGGCCATGGATAACACTGGCCCAGGGTGCCACAGACCGCTGGGTGCTCGGTGGCCGCACTGGAGGGAGATGGGGGGGGGGGCTACGAGCTGGGGTGGTCTCCGTTTCACAGAGCTCCCCTCCTCTGGCTGAACCGTTGCCGGCGGCATCGATCTATGCACTATTTATAGAGACTAATGTAAAGACTTTCTATAAATACGGGGGGTGGGCGGGAGGGGGATTGTCCCGGAGCCGCCTGGGTGCTGTGTCTGTACGGAGTCTCCCTCCAGTGCCACCTCCCAGACCCACACCTTTGGGAAGGAGCACTTCAGGGTCTGGCCGGGGGCTGTGTGAGTGCCTGTCCTCCCCCTCCAGCCATGGGGCCAGAGCATCCTCCAGCCCTGGCCCCACGGCAGGTGATGCTGGGGTGGTCAGAGCACCCACAAGGTGCCTGGTTGGATGGGCACCCACCATGGGCAGGCAGTTTCCCAGCCTGGCCCTTGCTCCATCCCTCATTTATCCAGGGTGGGGGGGTTCTTCATCCCACCCCCCACCCCCCTGCCTGCCACTGCCAGCCCTGTGCCCCTGGGATAACCAGGCTGAGCCGGAGCTGAACATTTCCAACCCGAAGCTGAGGGAAAATAGCCCATAATGGGTGCTTTGTAAATATGTTATTGCGCCAGTATTTTTTTTACTGTGCCTTTTTTTTTTAAAAAAAAACAAAATCAAAAACAAAAAACAAACGACAAACAAACAAAAAAAACATTGAGAATATGTAGATTTTTAAAATGCTTTTTATACGTTTTCTGTGGATCGGAAAAAAAAAAAACCAACCCAACCCCAACCTTCTGATAATCTGTTTAAGAAAGAAAAAAGAAAATTGCGATGTCTTGTAACTATCACCTTAATTTATATGTTCCAGTATCTGGAACGTCACTCTGTGCTTTTTTTTGTAAGTAGGATGTGTGTAAAGCAATAGTTGTGGGATGGGGAACCAGCATGGACGGCGTGTTCTCAGGGACTTGAACCCGATCGCTGCCACGGGGTCCCCGTGGGAGCCCTCACCAATAAAGCAGCTTTTTTTGCTGACCACAGTCACCTGGTCCTGGGCTCCGGTGTCTCTTTATGGACGAGTATCCCCGTGTTCCCCCCCCCCGGGGATGTTGTCACCTCTGAGGGATGCGCCGAGGAGGGGTTGTGCCTGCATCCCTCTCTTTTTTCCCACGGGTACCACTGGCCGTTTGCATCCCCGGGGGGAGGGTCCTCTCCTCCTTCCCCTCCCCAAAAGGCCGGGATAAGGCTGGGATAAGGCTTGGCGCCTCGGGGCTGGTTTTTCCCAGGCTGTGTGGAGGTGAGAGCCGGTTGTTAGCAGGGTGTTGTTAACAGGTTGTTAGCAGGGGGTTGTTAACAGCCGGCCGGCAGGCGTGTGCGTGGGAAGCTTGGGGTCTGTGGGGGGGCCTGAGCCCCTTCCCTCCCATCCCTCCCTTCACCCTCTCCCCCACCTGCCAGTAACAAGCCCCAAATTTCACAGGCTGCGCTAAAACCAGTTTTTGCTGCACTGGTACCAGTTTTCGCCAGCGCCATCCTCTCCTCCCCCCACCTTCCTCTGTACCCACCAGCTTTGCATTGCCATTGATCTATTGCGCATGTTCCCTCCCCGGGTTGCAGGACGTGCTTCTATTTGCATAAGGCCCTGGGCAAGGTTCTTTCTTGCATTGATTGGCCTGTCCAAGGGAGCCTGATGTGCTCCTGCATTGATCACCCTGTCTTTTCTTGGAAGGCAAGTGTTACGCCGAGTTCATCTCAAACATTCTAGGGAGAAGAGAAAAAAACTTTACTGCAGATGTCTCAATTTTATTCAGATGTTCCTTTGAGTATAGGCCTTTCCTTTTTTTTTTTTTTTTCCAGGATAAGTATTTTTTTCTTTCTTTTTTTTTTTTTTTGTCTTTTCTTTTCGAGGCACACTTTCTTACTTCACAGTTTCGCTTGAATCTCTGGGTTATCAGGGGCTGGCCTTGCTAAAAATACAGCCCAGCAGGAAGTTGGCGTGTGCTAAAGCAGCAACCCCTCCTCCCCACACCCCCGCAGCCTTCAGACAGACCCAAAAGTCACAAAAAAGAACCCAAACTCTGCAGCTCTGTGGGGAGAGGGGGGGGCTCTGGATCCTGCCCTGGGGAACTGAGCATCCCCCTGACCCAGACTCCCAAAAAAAGTCACAGGTACCCCAAAAGCTCCCCGAGAAAGGTGAGTGGATGGCAAGCACTGCCTTCCTGGAGCACAGGGGGGGTCAGGGCTGGGATTCAGGTGGGTGTAGGATTTGTTGTCTCTTGGTTTGTCCCCCCCCAGCCCGGGGTGAGGGAAGGGGAGCTGCGTCAGGCGCAGGAAGCGGTGCCACCCGCCCCCAGCTTTTCCTATCGCTGACGGGGCCACGGTTTCGGAGGCGCGGGCGCTTCCCGGCAGCGATGCCGTCACCCTTTCTGCAGGCTGGCCCGGGAGGGACACGGGGAGACTGGGGTGAAGGGGCCCTCTTTGCTGCAAAACAGCCCAAATCTGGGGTTAAGCATCCTCCGGGGTGCTGGGGGATAAGGGATGGGGCTGCTGCTGCAAGGAGCCCCTTGGCGGGGGTAAAGGCTGGGGGGTGCTGGGCCTGGTGCAACACCTGGAGGGGGCCTAAATATATATAATATATTTATATAGTATAATATAATATAATATAATATAATATATAAAAGAAATAAAAGAAAAAATGAAAAAATAAAAGAAAAAAATGAAATGAAATCAAATATAAACTAAAAGAAAATAAAACAGGAAATGAAATGAAATGTTAAAATAAAATAAAATATAAAATATACATTTAAATGAACTATAAAATAATAAGAATTAAACTAAAATACAGTACAACACACCCCACTGAGCCTTCAGGAGAAGGGGGAGGCAGCCCACCAGGCCTCCAGTTTGTC